ATGAACCTCCCCTACCAGCCTCGGTCTCGGTCCTCATGAATGCTCGAGAAAGGAGCCTTGCTTGCTCGGTGAACGAGTGATCAGTCCCCCTCGAAAGATTCGGGGACTGTACAGGTGAAGTAGGTGGTCGAGGGTGAACCGAGGACGGGTGGATTGTCCAAGGCACACCTCGTACCTCTTGCATAAAGCAAGAACTATGGGGTCCACAGGGGCGAGCGAGAAAGGGTAAGTGTAACCACTCAGATACCCCTTCACGTGAGTAGTAATATCGTGATTAGGCTCGGGGACGACCACATCCTTACCCTCTCACTTACAGTTCGCTCGGACTATGGGTAGGGTTTCTTCAGTGACAGAGCATATGTATCTCCATGCTCCCTCACCTCGGTCTTGTTGACTATAGGCTTTCTCGACCTTGAATTCATCCCAGATAGAGCGGCCCCCAAGTATGAAGCTCTTTATAGGGGGCTCCTGAGCCACCTGGGGAACGGCCGCCTCGGCATCTGCGAACGGGTGGGAAGATGAAGGGGCAGCCTGCCGAGGCACTGACTTGGAAGTTTTAGCCATTATAATCTGGAAAATATAGGTATGAAGAAAAATATGAAGATTTCAAGATGGTATGAAGGTCTGGGATGAAGGTTAAAAGAAGAAGTATGAAGATTAATATGAAGATATGAAGGCTCAATGAACAATGTATGAAGATCTGGAAAGATTAAAAGCCGGTAGAATGTTCGAAGGTGAAGTCTAGAATCGAAAAGTGGAAGAAGTGAAGAGGGTTGAAGCTTTTATAGAGGAAAATGCAATCAATGCGTGAAATTTCGCATTCGAAGACGGCCAGCCGATGACTGACACATGTCCGAAGTCAGAACGATGCAACTGATGGGACGTTTCGATTTACCCGTCATCTCAGTTACAACGTATGAGGGAAGAAACCGGAGTTCATCTATCGTTTCTCATCATTTCGGCAAACCTACTCGCTAGAAAATGAGGGGACTATCTGTATACAGGTAAAATCGGGGATAGAGCATACCCCTATTTTTAGGTGAAGAAAATAGAAGAAGGGCACAGACGCACGAGACTGAAATCGAGACCGGAAACCTTTCGTATCGAGACCTACGGAAGAAGAACGATGTGTTCATCACCGGGCACGATAAAGCAACGCTCCCCGGACCCAGAAAGAATTCTAAAACCTCGAAAAACACTGTAAATAGTTACACACGACGGATAAATGACAGTGATATTCGTACCTGACCGGATATCACAGCGCAGATCTCGCTCGATGTCGGTTATGGATCAGTAATTGACGGGAAAGAAAGATTTTTACCCTTTTTAGACTTGTACTAGGGATGAAATTCACCTAATATATAAAAGGGAGTTTTTTTTCTTTTGATAGATATATTGTAACACGCAAACCAAGGCAATACAAATTTATTTTTCTGCTTTTTAGCTATTGCAAAAGTTCTTACATAATTGTTTGTTCTTCATCCGATTTGGGTTCGAACCAAGGGTCCGATCGAGGGCAAAACTACTATTCAACCTAGGTTCAGGTTGGGCCGTAACATTATAATTGATTTGATTATTTATTTTGTCTTTAACTCGTTTATCTAATATTCACGATTATTTGTGTTGAATCAATCCACATATCCTTCAAACCGCGTACAAATTTAATTGTTATCCGTTTTAAGAGTAAACACATAGAATGAGTTGATGTTGTCGTTGCCCTGTCCTGTGCCCTTTGGAGTTGTCATTGTGTCGTGGGGCGATGGTTGTATCTCTCATCAATATCTAAAGTTCATGCAATAGACAAGAGGGAAACACGGTCGGTTCCATATCTTGCATCCCACATTGTTCAGAAGGCAAAACTTACACATGTTTGCTACATTGTGGAACTTATAGCCTGGTTGGCCAAACTTTAGACGGAAAAAAAATACTTTTTCGAAGAAACAAAAGTAGTTTTTGAGAAGTAGAAAAAAATAGTTTCTACCCAAAAGCATTATTTAAAAGTTTGGCCAAACACTAATTGTTGTTCAAATGTATTTTTCAAATTAATACAAATTATTTTTCACAAAAACTATTTTTTTTTTATTTTTAAAAACACTTTTTAAAATAAGTTAGATTTTAGAAAGTTGATATTTTATAATGGAACAAACCTTGAAAAGCTTGTTGAATGTGTGAAAAGAGCTAGCTAGCCTTTGACAATCAATGATGTAAGGAATTGTGGGTTCCAGAAGCAGTTACTAGAAATACCATGTGCTACACTATCATTGGATGCCATCTCCATCTCCATTTCTCAGGTATTTCAACGAGACCAACTTGGCCTGTGGTACTTTTCTTTAAGACGACTAGATATGAAAGTGAGCACGGGCCCAACATGTTTTCTGAGGCAAATTTTCTGCGCTTTACGTTTCATAATCATAAGAAAAACTCTGTACATGTACAAAATAAATAATCATAACCAAAAGATTTTTAAGTTTATCAATGTGCATTTTGTAATAGCGTATACTCGTATCTACAATATATGCAAAAGACATAAGTACATTGTTAGTAGAATCATATTCAAATATTACAGGCATAGTACTTAATAACTTAAGACATAATATCCAAGACCAACTACCTAATAACTGAGATATAATACCCAAAACTATAGAAAATGTCAGCATCTTCAAACACAACCTAAGCACATCTTACAATCATCATTTTTATGGGTAGGAGCAACTTGGTAGCCTGACTTTTGCCATTCCAAAAGCCACATCACAGAGAATTTTTAAATACCAATCAATTATAAGAAGCTGAAATTGGGAGGCATACAAAAATAGATATTATTGAGTTATAAAGTAAATGGTAAACTTCACATTTTGGAAGATTCCAATATATTTGACATCACACTTGGAAAAATATATTTCTATGCAATTCCAGTGTATTAGACTCCACTCATATAAGTACATATAATTTGGACTATGCAATCAGGAAAGCATGATGCCCTGTCCGAGAAAGATGATGAACTTCTACACATGATATACTACTTTAAAAAAAAGGATTTCAATAGCCAATACATTAGAATTTTACCGAGTCAAAAATCGGAAGACTTCATGTGGCAGATATATATTATATAGAACTCAGAAAAAAATTAAGAAAAAGAAGGCAAGAAAGGCAATCACGATTAGATTCATTGATCCTTACCTTCCAACAGTACATAAGTTTCCCAAAGATCTTAACTAAGTTGAACACTCTTTAAGAACTTAAAACTCTTGGGTACAATGCTCACACTCCATATCTCTGTACTTGTGCTATAATTTCAGTTGGCTTGTCGAAGAAGTCCTAGGAGAAGCTTTCTATGTTCTATTTGTAGCTAACCAAGATTTTGAACTGTCAATACTTAAAAGACTTCCCTTATAAACTTACGTTGATAATGTTGGTGGTTTCAATTTCAGCCTCTTGTCGATTCACATTTTCCAACTGTTTCTTTCATTTCTTGTTCAAATCTAATTACAGAAATAATTTTCTTTTGTTTCTCTCACCAACACTATGTCAAAAAGCATATGTTCCATTTCTACACAAGATAAAACTGATAGTTCTGCATGCAAAGTTATCAACATTTCTCCAGAGCAATTTTCTCAATTTAATTCGGAACACTATGTCTGCTAGTTGTTCTTGGATGTGCTTAACAGACAGGAGTTGCATCTGTGAACGATTTACTTCAATTTGTTTAGACATAAAGCAATGGGAGAAGAAAACCAAAAAGAGTATACCCACATAATAAAAGGATTTTTCCTCTGCATTTAAAAAAAATCACAAGCATGTTTCTTTCAAAAATCAACCCTTTTGGGATGAAGTAATGGAAAGCAAGCAGAAAAAATGGATGGAATGCAAGCCAAGTTTATGATCAACTCTTAACGGTAGAATCGTCTCTCTTTTCTATAAGATGCATAAGGTGTTCTTTTTAGCATTCACAAACAATCCATTAATGGAGATGGACTCCAATGCCTGGTCTAGCAGATTATTAATTTTTAGTATCTTACAAAATAGATCAAAACCAAGTCGCTCCAATGCTGGATATTATAGAAGGAAGCATTTGAAAGCTTAAGTTTCACGTCTAACTCATACTAAGCTAGCGTTTGGCCATAGATTCCCAAATTTGTTTTGAAAAATCTGATTTGGGTGGAGTTTGGTTTGAAGATGAAAAATATGTTTGGACATCAGTTTTCAAAACATATTTCCCAAATTTATTTTAGAAAAACATGAAACATAACTTATACCCACAAGTTCTAAAAACTATCACAAATACCCAACAGTACCATTATCAATAACATTCATTATATTATCGCAAACCATAGTCCTGAACATAAATAAATTTGATACAAAATTATCATTTTTATAATGAACTACATGATACACTATCAAGTGACCGAGAAGACGAAACAACATTGTTACAAAATAATAAATAATGGGTTCTTTTATAAAATACAAAAGTTTGGGATAATACAAAACCAGCTATCATGTAGTGATATTGAGCTGGTTTTGGGATTTGGGATTTTGCCAAAATGTAGGCAAAATTTATGGCCAAATATGTATTTGCCAAATAAAACCCAAATTTATTTTGTCAAAATCTATGGCGTGTCAGCTTCTTCAAGATCAATATATATTTCAACAATATTTGTATCGTAGTCTTCCAAGTTACCCTTTCATAAATGCTTCATTTNAGTGTTGGTCACCTGTCTTCCCATTCTTTTGGCCTATCCTATAGTTAAACAACACTTAAATGGTATCTTCACACAATCTTTCTAATGCATCTAATACATCTTTCAAAGAATGAGAAGCTCAAGCAAACCTTTGACCAATTCGTATATAGTGTTTGCTCTTCCCAATGTAATTGAACTTCTCAAAAAGCCACACGTGAAAAACCAACTTAAAAACCATTCACTTTCAGCAGAATCAGGGATGATTTAGTACATCCAACAATACGAAGATTATTGCAAGTTATATGTTAGCACAAATCACAATACTCATCCAACAATGAAGATTATAGCAGATAATGAGGATACGATATTATAATACAACAAAAAGGAAAGTTAAAAGAAACCTTTAAATAGAAAATTTACTATATGCTATTGGGGTCTTCATATGATGTTTCAATCTAGTTGTTCATCTTTCTCAACTTCCTGAAATACCTCACAGGAAAGAGCAAAGTCTGAGTGTACACAAAGCAAACAAATAATAATGGATATGATGAAATTTAATAGAATTAAGACTAATAAAATATATAAATGTCTAATGCAAAAACTCATCAATAAAATTTAGTATCTTCTTTTACAGAGATGTCACCTCCAAAAATATTAAGTCATAAACAAAGTTTTTTACGGGTCATCAATTGATTCTACCGGAAAATCAGTTCTTCTGTGTTGGCTGTCCTTTCTCATGGGAAGCTGCAGACCTATGGCCCTGAAAGAAGGAGGGAGGGGAGAACTCTGACCCAAAAGGGAACCACAAGGTTATCAGTACCAATAAAAAGGAAGCAGCGCATATGAAATAATCACGAAGGCTTACAGCTGATACAACCTTCGTATTAGGATTTTTCTTGTTAAATTTTTTCTTGATTCCTCACTGCATAAACAATGAACATTTATCACAACTACAAATCACGACTGCATCACTAAGGAAAAAGAAATTCCTAAACTTTTCCCTGGTAGCTTGAAAAGCAAACAAAAATGACATGCTTACACTTTTCAGTAAAACACAATGAAAAAACATCAATAGTGCATAATTATACTTAGAAATGAGAGGAAACTGATGAAATAACAGTAGACATCAATAAAATGAAAATCAAAATATAAAGGAGGCTTCATCGATCTTAGATGCTTTTTTAATTAAACGGAAAAAGAAGAATTTTGACTCTACTCCAATAACAGATAGAATTTACAGCACAAACTTGCACCTGGGTTACTGGGTATCTATTCCCAAACATGCATGAGCAAATCAAAAACATTATTGACATGCATGAACAAAATCAAACAATAATAATCCGAGGGAACAAAAATATTACCGGATACCCACCAAAAGAATAAGAAACTAACTAATACCCAGCAAATGGTAATCACCAAAGAAAATACAGTAACCAAATAAAGATTGCAGAAAAAAAACTCACCGGTAGAAAGAGCATAATTTGAAAAATGAACATAGAAAGTCTGGAATAGAGAAAGAGAAGAAAAAAGTGAGAAGAAATTACAGAGACTGACCACCGGAATTTCTAGAATAACTATAAGAAACTTTGGTAAATTTTTCGGGAGTCAGTAGTAAAACAACGAAGATCAATGGAAGATAAATTGACAGTAGAAATTTGAAGCACGCTGGCCCAATTTGTGCAAAATTGATTAGAAATTAGAGGCAGTACTGGACTGTTAGCCTCCTCATGAGAAGAGCATGTAAGGTAGGTGGGAGAGAATAGTTTTATACAGTAATATGCTGTACACGTGTTTTCTTGGAAAAGATTGATGACCAAATTACCAATTTATTCCTATATGACCTTGTAATTATCAAAGTACCCTTGTTCGTCCTTGTTCGTATACCCCAACTCCCCTTTCTAAATAAAATAAAAATAATAGTAAAACACAAACAGAAAGTTGTTCTTCTTTTCGTTTTAACACTTCCTTCCGATTAGTTTCAATGGTTTGTAAACCATATTTTAGTAATGCCTTTTCGGCTTCTCAGGAGAGAGATCTAAACATAAACACACCACTGTTTTTATCAACCATTTTGCCATGGGAATTGACATATAATTTACACATATGGATAAACTGGCTAAATGGCTTAGGTTCTAGAGAAATAAAAATAACGTATAGGAACTCTCAGTGGCTTCATTCATTACCATCTCTTCCAGCATCAAGTGTACATGATATCCAGCTCGCACTATTGAATTAGACAATCAATAAATGGGAAAGTACTGAAGTTCAATAGATAATCAACTTAATCACAAGCTTACCACATTGCCAAAATGACGATCCAAGGTTTCAACTAATTAAGAGGTGAATGAATTTCAAAATAGCTAGTTTGTTCTGCCAAATGGAACAAAGAGATAAATGATGAGAAGGCAAACCAAAGAATAATCTTAATTAGCTATAAGCCAACATACATATGAACAAAATTTTGTCCCAATAATCCCTTACCCTCTAAACACCAACCGTAGTTAGGTACGATACAACTGCAGATCACATGATTATAAAAAATCAAGGTTTTACTAACAAGCCAGCAGAAAATTCCCAGACAAAGCTTAGTAGACAATGAACATTTTGGTACAAGACCTGAGAGTAACAAAAAGTATTCTGGACCTATAAGAAGTGACCAAACCAAATAGTGTTAAAGAATTCGGGACTTATACGGAAGGTCAGTGACGGATCTAGAATTTTGAAGTAATGGGTGCTTCACTATATTTAGCGCAAATAGGCGTATAGAACATATAATCAATGGGTTCAACTAAACTCAAGTTTTCGGCACAGATCATTAATGTATACGTAAAAGATAATCAGAATCTCAACATATATAAAATTTTTAACCCGTAATTTTAAAAGTATAGTGGTAAGAATTTAAAAACTGTACATCAAATTTTACTCCTAGATCCTCTCTATTAACCCATTGGGAAGTAAATTTGGGGAGAAGAAAGTAAAATCTAAAAGAGAACCTAAAAGGGAAAAAGAAGAAATAAAAAATGCCTTCTCAGTTGGGGAAGCGGAACAAAGTTAAAAATGAAACAGGAAAGTAAGAAAAGTAAGTAAGAAAAGTAAGCAAATAAATAAAAAGAAGAGGGACTGAATGGATATTGGGAGCAAAATTAAAAATGGAATAAAGAAAGTTGTTTATCCGAAAAATCAGATAACGTTAAATTTATGTATGATTTCAAGGATATGTGATACCCTTTGATACAAAGATAGCAATACGAGTATTCTTGACTATGAGAATGAGAATAATGAACGGAAAGAATGAGTAAGATGAAGTAAAACAAGCACAAGGAAATATCCTTGTATATGAGAAAAGATCTTTTGTTCTATGTCCATAGCTTACAAGGATCCCCTGTTTTATAATAGAGGGTCATTACTTTATTTATAACAAAAAATAATAAAATAAAGCATATA